TTGGAGTCAGTGAGACTGGCTCAGCACAGGGCAGGCTTCAGTGCTATAAGGTCGCTATGAGTCATAGGTGATTCAGTGGCACATAACAACAATAATTTATCAGATGAAGATATGAAAAGAGTATATGACCAGAAACAATTATAGGAGTAGAAAAACAGAAATGAGAAAGCTCAGAATGTATGTATTTTAGTAGAGAGAGAGAGAGAGTGTGTTTGTGTGTGTGTGAGAGAGAGAGAGTGTGTGAGTGTGTGGAGTGAGAGAGAGAGAAGTGTGGAAAGATTGACGGGCAGATTTCAGAACGCCATGTATGCTGCTAGCGTGATACTGTTTGTTTAGTAAGCATTAAAGTGTGTGTGTGTGTGTGTGTGTGTGTGTGTGTGTGTGTGTGTGTGTGTTGGTTGTTGATGTTTGTTGACTTCCCTTCCCTAATGACAACCCACATGCATTAAAACAAATTGCTGTCATTGACCATTTTGATTTATAAGATTTTCATTGGCTGATTTTTTTTAGGAATATATTGTTATATGTCTTTCTTCTTAAGTCTGTCTCAGTCTGGAAATCATAGCATACAAACCTCTCCTGACAGATGACTGATTGGCCCAGAATCCATCCTTGGTCTCTCACATGGAAAATGAGAATCCTACACCTAAACCATCACTGTGCCAGTGTCTATTACTGTTGTTAAATGCCACCCAGTCAGCTACCATGCATAACACCCTATGAACAACAACAGATCAGAATCTTGCTCAAATCCTGTGCTGTCCTCATAATCTTTGATACTTGAGCCCATTGTTATATTCACTGTGCCATTCTATTTCATTGAGAGTTGTCCTGCCTTTCCAAGCATGATTGCTTTTTCCAAAAACTAATACCTCCTGATAACATGCCCTAAATATGTGAAATAAAGTTTCATCATCCTAGCAGTTCCTTCAAGAAAGATTTTTTTATGCACACCCATGTTTATTGTGGCTTTGTTCACAATAGCAAGGAGTTGGAAACAACCTAAATGCCCATCAACAAACAAATGGATAGAGAACCTGTGGTATATTCATACAATGGAATATTACTCTGCATTGAAAACAAGGAACTAATACAATATTATTCAAAATGGGTGACCCTGGAGGACATGATGCTGAGTGAAGTAGTTCAGTCACAAAGGGACAAATACTGCATAGTGCCACTATTGTAAAACAGGACTGACATCGGGGTTGGGAGGTGACTGAAAAAGAGGGGATAAATAATGTAAACTGCAATGAAACAGATGAGGGAGACATTATTTAAAAGGGATATATTGTTAGGTATTTTTGTCATGACAGTAGTATGGAATGAAGGCTGCATAGTGGAGTGGACCTGGGGGGTGGGATTGTAAAACAATGGGGCAGGGGGAGGTGTGGGAAGGAAGGAAAAGTATAACAATGAATGAATGGAAATCCAAAGTCTCTGTAAATTTTCATTAAAATTAATAATAAAAAAATTGAGGGGAAAAGAAAGATTTGTTCCTTTGGCAGTTTATTGTATATCCAGAACTCCTCTGTTGCAGGTGATAAAAGTTATCTTGCTTGATTAATTTCTGTGCTCTGCTGAATCACCTTTTCTTAAAGTGGAAGCAGGCAAGAGTTTTTTCCAGTTATTTGGCCAGGTAGCTATCAATCAAATACATGGGTTTTTCCATGAGCACAGTTGTGCTGATGGGAAACTTCCCTTGACATGGGCAAGTGAGCTCATGCTCATCCAGGTCTGCTTATGTCTGTTAAAACTCATCAGTTGGTAGTTTATCAATTCTTGGGACCTTATTTTTTGGCAATGTCTTCAGTATGGTTTTAATAGCTTTCTTACTGCCATTCATTCTTGATCATATACTGCTTCCTGAAATGATTCAGTACTGACCAATTTTTTTTTTAATATAGTGACTGTGTATTCCTTCCATCTTCTTTTCATTCAGGATTTTGCCCATAGAATCAATCCTTCAGTATTGCAACTTTAGGCTTGAGTTCGTTTTTCAGTTCTTTCAGCTTGAGAATTGCTAAACATGTTCTTTCCTTCTGCTTTTCTAACTCCTGCTCTTTGCACATTTCATTGTGATACTTTGCTTTGTCATCTTGAGCTTTCTTCTGGTCTCCAGTTTGGCTCTCTGACTTGAGCAGTTCTTCACTTTGTCCAGTTCAGGTTTCACAGTGACTGTTGATGTCCATTTTAGTCTTTCCTTTCTTTTCTTTGCAATGACCTATTGCTTTCTCATGGATGATATCCTTGATGTCATCCAACAACTTCTCTGGTCTTTGATTATTAATGTTAAGTGCATTAAATCTGTTCTTGGTGTATTATATTTTGGGGGTAGACTCAAGGTCTTATTTTGCTTTTTGTGGACTTGTTTTCATTTCTATAGCTTCTGTTTGAGCTTGCACATAAGTAACTAGTGATCCGTTCCAGTAGATTCCTGGCCTTGGTGGTTATTTTATTTTTTAAAATTTTTCCCCCCGGCTTGATTTTTGTTTGTTACTTACATTATGTTTCATACATTCAAATATATTCCATTTTACATTATTTTGTTTTGCTTACAAAGTTTGTATACATTGTGTTGCACACTATTCTTCATTTCACATTGTGTTTCATACAATTATTCTTACATATTACGGTTGTATAAAATCACTCTCCATTAGACCTTACCCATCATTACCCTATCTTTTCACCTGGATCCTTACCATTTGCTCCCCCCTCCTCTCAGTCTGTGCACCCCTGTGGTCTCATCCCTGCCTACCCTCACCCCTTCATTTCTCCCTCCAGCCCTTGAGTTTCTGTACATATTTTATTAGTTGTCCTTCTATTTTTGCAATAATGATCGTATGCACTATTTGTCCTTATTAGGCTGCATTAGTTCACTCAGCATAATGCTCTCCAGCCTCTCACAATTTTCATAGTATTTTTTCAAAATCATTGCTCCTGAGTGCTGGATAGTATTCCATTGTGTGAATGTATCTCAGTTTCTCAATCTATTCGGCTGTGATTGGACATTTGGGCCTGTTTCCATGTTCTTGTGATTGTGAATAACATTGCTGTGAACATTGTGTATAAATCTGTATAATTTGTGTTTCAGTTCTAATTTTGGGGGGGTATGTTCCTAGTAGTGGTATATAGCTGGGTTATAGCTGTGTTCAACTTTTTTGAGGAAATGTTCCTGGCCTTGTTTTGACTGCTGATATTGAGCTTCTCCATCAACTCTATCAACGCATTTAGTCTGATTCCTTTGTAGTTCCACCATCCGATGAGGTCCATATGGATAGTTGCTGTGAACGTTTTTTTAAAATATTTGCCGTGACATTTAGTCTGATTCCTTTGTAGTTCCACCATCCAATGAAGTCCATGTGTATAGTTGCTGTTAATGTTTTTTTTTAAATATTTGCCGTGAATACATTACTTATTCTATCAATTGATCCCTACCCTCATTTCTGTCATTAAGGTCTTAATTTTCAAGTACCAGTCCTTTTTTGTTTCCAACTTTTGCATTCCAGTCACCAGTTACTATTTTTGCATCTTTATTGCATACTTGTTCAACTTCAGATTGCAAAAGTTGATAGAAATCCTCAATTCCCTCATCTTTTAGTGGTTGGTACATATATTTGAATAATAGTTATATTCACACATCTCCCTCATGTGGTGTAGATAGTATCTTACCACTCTGCATTGTACTTCAGGATAATCATGAAATGTTCTTCATCTGACTAGGAATGAAGACCATTCTTTTTCATTTTGCCATTTTGTCATATGACTGGTTCATAGTTACCAATACCGGTCCTTTTCAGTTCACTTATTAATAGGGTGTTGATCTTTATGCATTTTATTTCATTTTGACAGCTCCCATTTTTCTGGATTCATACTTCCTACATGCCATGTTTCAGTTAACAATGCATGTTTTCAGCTGTTTCTCCTAATTTTTAGAGTGCCTTCCTACCTGAGAGGCTCCACTTCGAGCACTGTATCCAGTAATGTACCTCAGTTATGTCTAGGGCTTCAAAGTGCTATTATTTCAGTAGTGGTTAAACAGGTCAGATTCTTAATCTGTTTTAGTCTGGATGTCTGTTGATAGGAAAGAGAAATAGTATAGAATTACATTGTCTTGTATGAGCTACTAGCCATATAGTGTTACTGATCACTTGAAATGTATTTGGTCAATTTGAGATATTCTGTATGTGAAATCCATACTGGATTTATGAGATGGGTACAAAAAAAGAATGTGACATATATAATTGGCAGTATTTATATTGTTTTTTAATGAAGATGTTCTAGATGTATTGAGTTGAGTAAAATATGTTAAAATTAATTTCACCAGTTGCCTTTTTACTTTTTAAATATAGCTACTAGAAAATTTTCATTTCTGTGCACAGTTTGTCTTTGTGGTTTGGATTATATTTCATTTGTTGTTGTTAAGTCCTGTTGAGTTCACTGTGACTCAGTGACCCAGTAAAACCATGGATCTGAACCTTGCCCTAGTTGGTGTTCATTATCTCTTACACTATTGATCCCATTACTGCAGTCATGTGTCAGTCCCATCTTATTGGAAGTCTTTCTCTCTCTTGCTGACCCTCTACCTTTCCAAGCATGATGCCTTTTTTCCAAAGAGCAGCCCCTCTTACCAAGAAGCCAAAGAGTGTGTGATGAAGTTTCACCAGTCTTGCATCCAAGGAGCACCCTGGTTACATTTTCTCCAAAACATTTATTTGTTCTTTTGGCAGTTGATGGAATAGTCAGTACTCTTCTCCAGCACCACTCAAAGGCATTGATTCTTCTCTTCTTTTGTACAGTGTTATAAATAAATATGAGACATGGAGAGAAGAGACTTGCATTTTAGTCATCTCTGGTTTTTGCTTGCTGCTTTTGTTTTATGAATAATACTTTTTTTGCCATGAGAATTGCCTTGTTCACTTTGAATTTAATGTTTTTTGAAGTATCTTGCATGTTAATTGCTTCTCAAAAGATTCATTTTATCGCTTTTGTAGATTTAATAATGGGCTGCATTAAAAGTAAAGAGAATAAAAGTCCATCCATTAACTACAGAACTGAAAACCCTCCAGAGTCTGTCAGTACAAGTGCCAGTCATTATGGAGCAGAACACACTTCACTGGTGCCATCGTCGTCAACAAAGGGGACCTCTTCAAATTTTAGCACTCTTTCAATGGCACCGTTTGGAGGATCATCAGGTGTGACACCTTTCGGCGGAACATCTTCCTCTTTCTCAGTGGTGCCAAGTTCATATCCTACTAATCTAACAGGTGAGATTTAGGTGAACAGTTTTGTTAAAGAATGTTTCCTTGGACAGTATATGCATAAAACTTGCCCAATTATAAGAAAAATTACTACTGGGGGATTTGAAAAAAATTTATGTGAAAATTGCAGTCTCTCACAGAAACATTAAAATTATACTGTATGCATGGCTTTTGTTTTGGGAAATTTTATGATAATCTGGTGATATAACCTATGTATTAGGTGTATTATTTATTATTTCACTAATTCCTTTTTCAAATATTAATTGAATGTCTACTATGAGACAGACTTTGGCTGTATAAAAATTAAAAAATATGCCACTCTAAAAATCTTAGAACTTCTCAGATTTGTTGCATGCCATCCACTATTACTTGATAAATGTTACCTACGTGATGATAATAATAAAGCTTTTCTATCAGATAAAAGAAGCTGAGGCTTAGAGAGCTTTAATGATTTTTTTTTCCACAGTCACAGATAATATACAAGAGATCCCAGGTTAGCTGTTCTAGTCTAGAACTCTACTCATTATTTTATAACATCATCTCATAAAACAGGAAGAAGGGATAGTCGAAAGCCTTGCGTGGAGACAGACCTGCTATTTAAAAATACTTTCATGTTTTTTAAAAAACAGTAGAAAATTTTAAAAGAAAACAAGAAATTTGCATTCTTTTAAAAGGTCCAGTGTCAAGATATTTTTCCTTGCAAGAAACCAGATACAAGTGTTTTAAACAGCAATGCAGAGTGAGCTACAGGCTGTGGTGTCAGCAAAGACTTAAGTTTTTCCTTTTCTCCCCATTATTTGGAGCATCCACTTTATCCTTTGGCTTATCCCTCGAGCTAGCACTGTCACATTGAGCAACATATGTTCTTACTATCACACCTACTACACTGCTGTCAAGGTTGTTCCTCAGTAGCCAGAGAAATGCCATGTCATATATTTGATTATGTTAGACTGTTCATTAGAGAATTAAGATTGTGGCCAACTCTTTGATATCTGTAACTCCTCCTTTCTAAAGCTAACAGGAATGTTAGCAATTTAAATCTACCAGCTTCTTTGCAAAAGAAAGATGGCAGACTGCTTCCAGAAAGATTACAGCCCTGGAAACCATAGCAGACAGTTGTTCCTTGTTCTGTGGGTCACTGTGAGAATTTGACTTGTTGGCAATGAGTTCAGTTTTGTTCGTTTAACTCTCTTTCAGAACAGGTGACCATTGTAGTACTCTTACTACTAAAAGTTTAAATTATTTTAAAGATTTTATTAAAGATTTTACCTAAACCACCTTCTTGTTGTTGTTATGTGCCGTCAAGTCACTTGTGACTCATAGCGACCCTATGTTCTACAGGCCTAAACCCTGCTCTATCCTGTGCCATTCTCACTGCCTCTGACACACCCATCCCGATTACTTCAGTCACTGAATCAATCTACCTCATAGAGGGTCTTCCCCTTCTGCGCTGTCCCACCCTCCCAAGTATGATGTCCGTCTCCAAGGATCTCTCCCTCCTTAAAACATCTCCAGAGTATGTCAGACGAAGCCTCCACATCCTTGCCTCCAAGGAGCAGCCTGGTTTAACCCTCTCCAGGATGAATCTGTTTTCTTGGCAGCCCATGGTATATTCAGTACTCTTCTCCAGCACCACAGCTCAAAGGCATCAATTCTCCTTCTATCCTCCTTAGTCATTGTCCAACTCTCTGATGCATAACAAGTGATTGCAAAGACCATAGCCTGATTCAGACACACCTTAGTCTCCAGAGTGACACTATTGCTCTTCAGTACCCTGGAGAGGTCTCTTATTTATATGAAATATTGATTCAACAAATATGGAGTGTCTGTGTGCCAGGTGTAGAGAGGTGAGGAAGATGGAAAAGGTTTCTGTCCTAACGGAGCTTATATTATGAGGGTTGGGCAATAGTTAACAAGGGAACAATTCAACAGAGTGGTTAATGGTTCTTATGTGCTATAAATGAACAAGTAGGAGGCCCTTCTGGAGAGAAGAAATTTTGATTTGAAACTAGAATGCTTAACCATGTACGGAACTGGGAAAAGAGCATTCTAGTGAGTGAAAAGAATATGCAAAATTTGAGAGGATACAGGTGGATTTGGCAATTTTAAATACTAGTAGATAGGCCAGAGTGGATCGAGAAATACATAATGGACTAAAGGGTTTGCAGAAGTCCTTGATTACTCAGTACTTTGTAGACTGTGCTAGGAAGTTTGGGGTTTATTCAATACTGAAAAAAGCTATTGAAGTTTTAATTGCAGGATGTGCATGATTGAATTTCCTTTTTTAAAAACTGGCAGTTGTATGATGACTGCAAGGGGTTAGAAAATTATTACTCCTGATAGTTCCATCAAAAGATGACAAGGACTTTGGGATTAAAGTGGTGGTGTAGAAATGGATAGAAGTAGATAATAAGTCATTTTAGAAGTAGAATTGACAGTCTTAGTAATGCACTTGACGTAAGCAACTGATTAGATAGTAGTGCTGTTTGTTTACACATGGGAGATTTAGGTAAGTACAGGTCACAGAACATAACTTCAGAGCTATCTTTTAATGGGTGCTTACAAGACATTAAAGTAGAGATGGCAAATATGCTACTGATGTAGAACTGTGGAACTTAGAGGAAAGGTCATAGAAATAATATTTTATGTGATAATATTTTTAACTTTTATTTTCTATAATTTTTTATACAGAACAGATTTTATGTTCATTTCTAAATATCACAACATTTTAATTATTAGTCTGTAGATTTACTGGGAGCCCTTTACTCTACCATTTTTAAAAACAGTGATAGATATATTGGAAATTAAGATGGATTTGACAACTCAGTGGAATGGTAATGAATAAAGTATGTGTATATTCAGATTAAGATGTCATTATATGCTGTTTTGCTTGTTAAGTATTGCCTAATAAACTTAGTCTGTGATTTAGTGGGAGGTTTTTATTGTGGTGATGTTTTGTTTTTTTTTAAAAAAAGAATGCCATTAAAGAATTTTTACCTTCCTTTAACAGTTTTGTACACTGAAGTGCTATACATACTGTTTAAGTCTGTTCTAGTCTTTGGTTTGGATATAATAGTTCAGTGTGCTAAAAATTCTGAAGTATCTGTAGATAATGCTAGTGTGGCACAGCTGTATACTTATAGCCGTGTCATTTAATTTCTAAGAAAAACATGTAATTTTTATCTGTAAGTTAAACATGAAATAAGTATTACTGTAGTACAGTAATAATTATTATTGACTAGTCTTATAAACAGAAGTGTTTATTGACTATTAATGACAAATTGAGGTTACTGTTATCTTACAATACTACTTTGTGCTTTTTTTGCCAAAGAATTTATTTGAAATTTTATTGCTTTCTCAAGCCAGAGATATTGCTCTTCTGAACTGATATTAAGTTTGTGTCTCTGAGTCTGTAGAATTTTAGAATTTGTGAATAACACAAATAACGTCATGTAATGTCTTAAAAATTTCATCTGTCTAAAATCTCAACTTCTACAAAATATATATTCTGGAGAGAAAGAGGAAAACTGCCCATAAGTTTGCTTTTTTTTTTACAGGCAGTATAGTGTTTTGTTAATTTATATCATTTACTTTGGTTCTTTCTTTCCCTCCGTAGGTGGTGTTACAATATTTGTGGCCTTATATGATTATGAAGCTAGAACTACAGAAGATCTTTCATTTAAGAAGAGTGAAAGATTTCAAATAATTAACAATACGTAAGTATCCTATGTATTTTGTGAAGGTGACATACTGGCAAAATCTGGTCTTAACACTAAACCACTGGCCTCCTTGATTGCCTCTACTCACTGGACTAGACAGTGCATTTGTTTCATTAGATAGGTGGTATAACACTCCAGCTGCAGCGTGGAGTGAGTTATTCCTCTACAGTTTTACTACCGTGGTTCTGCCAAAGACAGAGATTTGAGAATCAAGGTTTTTGAAGGATTATAGGCAAGTACTTTTAAATAAAGTCTTCTGAAGCTAATTTTATGTTCCTATTTAAATGCAGATGATTAAAGATCTTACTCTGTTGCTGTTGGGGAGAAAACATTAATTAGAACACTCCTGTAACTCTAAAACTGACCAAGTTAAGTTGCTTTTTCTTTATGTGGCTTTTGGACATTTTTGTCACTCAGTGCCTACCATAGAAAATATGTTGCTTGTTATGGAAAATGTCTTTAGTCATTTCTTTGAGAGGTATAAGAATCACTTTTATATAACTTCTGAAATGATAAATCCATTGTTTCTACTTGTGCTTTCTTCCATCCATGTTCCCATCTACTATCTTTTCTCTCTGCTTTAAATTCCATCAGGAGCTACCAGTTAGTTGTCTTTGAGACAAAATAGAAACAATAATAGCTGTCATTCATTGAAAATTTACCATTTGCCTCTTTCCCTATCTGATTCTGTTATGCAGGAATATGGAATTGCTTGTACACTGAGGTTTCTGATCATTTTCTTGTCTTTACACCTGCAGTTTCTTTTTTCTGGGATATGACTCCCATTTTCCCACCTTTATTTGCGTCATCCTTCACAAAGCAGTCCTTATATCCTTGCTCAGGAAAGCCTCTCCTGTCAGTCATCCCCTTCTGCTGAACCTATCCGCCTATTGCTGGATAAATGTCTCTCTTGTGTTCTGCCACACCTCAGTCATAGACATAACAGTTTTTAGTTAGAGTTTGTCATTTGCCTCTCATTATTTTCTGTCACTAATTCTCAGCAAAACAGTGGCAGATATTTGACAGGGGCTAGAGAGAGTTTTCTGTTGTCACCTAGGACGCTACTACTACTGTAGATAGAGACCAAGACTGTTCCTGAGTATCTTATAGTATATTGGTCAGTGCCCCACTACAATAACAAAGACTTCTCGAGCCCAGAGTTGTTATTGTTGTTATTGTTATGTGCCGTTGAGTCTCTTGAGCCTCATAGTGAGCGACTCTATGTACAACAGCCCTAAATCCTGCTCTATTCCATGTCAATCTTACTGTCTCTGACACCTCCTGTTAACGCAATTACTGAATCAGTCCATCTCATCGAGGGTCTTCCTCTCCTGTGCTGTCCCTCCACCTCCCAAGCATGATGTCCCTCTCCAAGGATTGATCCCACCTCACAACATGTCCAAAGTCTGTCAGATGGAATTTCAGAATTCTTGCCTCCTAGGAGCAGCCCAGCTTTTACCCTCTCCAGGATGAACTTGTTTGTTCTCCTAGCACTCCAGGCATAGTCAGTACTCTTCTCCAGCATCAAAGCCCAAAGACATCAATTCTCCCTTCTATCATCCCTAGTCATTGTCCGACTTTCTGATGCCTAGCAAGCAAGGAGTAATTCTGAAATTGAGAAACTCTACTCTTCAATAGTCCTTTCCAGTATATGCTATCATAGTCTGTCACTTAATAGATACATTCAGCAAGTGTTTGAATGATGGCTGTTGTATGGCACCAAATCATTTGTGATTTATCATAACCCTCTGGTGGCCTACTTTGTAGGGAGTTGCACTGCTAACCCAAAGGCCAGGTCTCTTTGCTGGTTCAAATCTACTAGCTGCTCCAGGGGAGAAGGATGTGCAGTCTCCTCCCATATGATTTATAGCCTTGAAACCCCACTGGAGAATCAGCTGTGAGTTGGTTCCTACTTAGTAGTGGCATTGAGTTTGAGGTTTGTTTTTTTTTTTACAAAGTAGACTTACCTCCATAGCGTTTCTCTGACTGGATTGTTTACAGAAGCAGATCCGTAAGATTGTTCTCCATCTATTGGCTTAGGATTCAAACAGCTGACCTTTCAGTCTTCAGCCAAGTGCTCAGTTGTGATACCAGATAACTGGTTGTTGTTACTGAGGGCCATCGAGTCAACAACAACCTGTAAACAACAGATTGGAAACGTGCCCTGTTCTGCAACATTCTCGTGATCCTGATGCAAGAACTATTTAGCAGGATCACGTGCAGAGTTTTTTATTTTTATGACTGAAATAGCCTAATGAACAGAGATGTTGTCAGGTCCGTCTAGGTGGCTGTGACTCATGGCAGTCCTGTGTATAGCAGGGTGAGACCTGGCCTGATTCTGCGCCATCCTCACAAACTGAGGGGCTTAAGCCTGCTGCTGCAGTCACTGTGTCAGTACACCTTTTTTCTTTATAAAATTTTAATTTTAATTGTGATTTTAACAGAAGTTTACAGAAGAATTAGATTTTCATTCATTCGTTGTTGCACATTTTACTTCCTTCAGTATATGTTTTTGAGGGTCTTCATTACTCTCACTGACCCTCTACTTTCCTAAGCATGATCTCTCCAGGGAATGGCCCCTCCTGACAACATGTATAAAATATATGATGCCAAGTCTCACCATTCTTGCTTCACATGAGCACTCTGGCAACACTTGCATTTCTTCCAAGGAGCTCCGGAGGAGTAGTGCATAGTAAGTTGCTTTGCTAGTGGAAAGATAAGTATTCAGAGGCAGTCTCCTCTTAATTTATAGCCTCAGAAATGCAATGAATTGTTGCTGTGAGTTGAAATGTACTCTGTGTTAGTGGCTTTTTGATACGTACTCAACAATTCAACTGATTGCCATTGATTGAAAACCAACTCATAGCTGACTTTCTAGCAGATTTTTTAGTGGCAGCAAATCAAGTGGCAGGAGGTTGTCCATATTTATCCCGTGGAGTAACTAAATGATGATTTCAGACTGCTCACTCTTGGATTTTCATTGTAGCTCCTCTCCCACTGGGCCACCAGAACTTAATATATACTGTTGTATTGTTGCTATGTTGTAATTGTTGAGTTGCAAGTGACTTACAACTGATCCTCCAGTGGGTTTTCAGAGGCTATAAATGGCATGGGAGAAGATTACCATCTCTCTCCTGCAGAGCAGCTGGTTGATTTGTTTTGGGACTGCACCTCTTTACCACTAAGCTATGAGAGCTTCCTCTAGTAAATGCTGCTGCTGCTAGAGGCTATCAAGTCTAGTACAACTCACAGCGGCCCTCCTAACAACAGACCTGAACCCTGTCACGTCCTGTGCCGTGCTTGCAGTCTCTGCACACTTGAGCCTGTTGCTGCACTTGTGTCAGTCCACCTAGTTTGGGGTCTTTTCTCTCCTTTTCTGTCCCTCTACCTTTCCAAGCATGCTGTCCTTCTCCAAGGAATAGCCTTCACTAATTATAGGCCCAATGTTGTTTCATCATCCTTACCTCCAAGGAGCGCTATAAAACCAGGGTATGGGTTTGGAAATGTTTGAATTATCAGAATTTTCCATTCCCTTTTCTAGTGAACAGTTTCAGGCTTTTGTAAGAAGAACCTTGGTGGTACAGTGGTTTAAACACATGGCTGCTAAGTATATGGTGGGTGATTTAAATATATCAGCCACTAAAATTTATGTTTGGAATGTATTTTCAGTATTTACCTATGGTAAAACAGCAGGTTTTACATCTTTAATAGTTTATCCTAATGTGCATTTTTTATTGTTGTTAAGAATCATTGAGTCAGCTGTAACTCTTAGCAGTCTTATGTACATCAGAGCCAAACATTGCTGAATCCTGCACCATTGAAAATATTATAGCTTGAGTCATGCACACCTTAGTCCTCAAAGTGATGTCCTTGTTTTTTAGCACCTTGAAACAGTCCTTTGCAGCAGATTTGTCCAGTGCAGTAAGTGGTTTTGGGTTCTTGAATGCTGTATGTGGTGCTGATTATGGATCCTAGTAAAATGAAATCCATGACAACTTCTGTCTTTTTTCATTTATCATGATGTTTTTTGGTTCTTTTTGAGGATTTTTGTTTTCTTCTTGTGAGGCATAATCCATATTGAAAGATAAAGTCTTTGAACTTGATCAGTAGATGCTTCATACCTTCTTTCTTTTCTACAGGCAACGTTCTGTCTTCTGTGTATGAGTCTTCCTCCATTCCTAATGCCACATTCTTCATGGAATCCAAGTTCTCAAGTTATTTGCTCAGCATACACATTGAATATCTTTGGTGAATGATATAATCCTGATGCATACCTTTCCTGATTTTAGACCATGTGGAGTTCCTTTGTTCTGTTCAGACATTTGCTTCTTCATTTATGTATAGGTTTCACATGAGCACAATTGAATGTTCTGGGATTCCCAGTCTTCTCAGTGTTTCCATGATTTGTTGTTCCATGATGCGCACTGTCTTTGCATAGTCAGTAAACACAAGTAAATGTCTTTTCTGGAATTCTCTGCTTTCAGCCAAGACCCTTCTGATACCTACTTTGTTTGTTTGTTTTTTATTATTTATTTCCATGAAAATTTACAGAGACTTTGTATTTCCATTCATTCATTGTTGCACTTTTCTCCCCTCCCAACCTTCCCCCCAAGTATAGGTCCCTCTTGGAAAAGTAAAAGAAAAATTCTTTCATTGTTTTACAATCCCTCCTCCCAGGTCCACTCCACTAGGCAGCCTTCGCTCTGGACTCTCAGTCATGACAATAATACCTAATCATACTGTTTCAGTGCAGTATACAATATCTAACCCATCTCTCAGTCTCCCCCAACCCCAATGTCAGTCATGTTTTTCAACAGTGACACCATGCAGTATTTGTCTTTTTGTTACTGAGATACTTCACTCAGCATAATGTCCTCCAGGGTCACCCATTGTGAATAATATTGGATGAGTTCCTTGTTTTTCAATGTAGCATAGTATTCCATTGTGTGAATATACCACAGTTTCTCTATCCATTCGTTTGTTGATGATGGGTACTTAGGTTGTTTCCTACTCCTTGCTACTGTGAACAAAGCTGTGATAAAAATGGGTGTGCATATATCTGCTTGGATGTCAGTTATGATCTCTTTGGGGTATATTCCCAGTAGTGGAATTGCTGGGTCAAATGTTATCTCTGTTTGCAGCTTTTTTTAGAAAGCACCATACCGCCTTCCACAGTGGTTGCACCATGATATTTACTTTGATATCCCTGTTCCAAAGAGTTTTTTATGTCCAACTTGAATATTCCTAGTTAAAGACTGATAATATTTTCTTCTTTCATGTTAAGTTTTTAAAATTTAGGATTTAATATATTTAAAAATCACATATAGCTCTCATGTTCTGGCTTGCAATTTAAATTTGAGTATTTATATGGACACTTTTGTAAATATTATTCCAGAGATTCTGAAGTTGGGTTCCCCCCCCCTTATGGCACATTGTTTTGGAGTGCTCTTTGGAGGCAGGAATAATGAGAATTTGCCTCACATACTTTGGGCATATTGCTAGGAGGGGCTATTTTTGGAGGAGGACAAGATGCTGTGAAAAGTGGAGGGTCGATACAGGAGAGCAAGACCCTCAGCTAGGTGGATTGATGCGGTAACTGCTGCAATGGGCTCTTGTGTGTCAGGAAGTGTGAGGATGGTGCAGGATAAACAGCATTCAGATCTTTTGTTTATAGGGTTGCTATGTGTCATACTCAATCTGAGGGCACCTAACAACATCAACAACAACACATTTTTAATAATACTAGGGCATCCTGTTTTGTTTTTTTCTTAAAATAACTTGAAAAGAACACTATTTTAATGTACTATTAAGAAAATGTGCTCATTTCAGCAGCACATATACTAAAATTGGAATGATACAGAGCAGATTAGCATGGCTTCTGTACAAGGATGACACACACATTCATGAAGCGTTCCATATTTTCATATTTTTGGAGGAACATTCTCTTCTGTCATACTGTACTGAGGTAACCTGGGGTTGCTGTAATGCTTAACCTTGTGCCTGGTGTGTCAAATGCCATAACGATTAGCCATGGTGGAGAGTGTTTGATGGAGCTTCCAGTTTTAAGACAAGTTTGAAAGCAGGAGTAGCATCCACTTCCTAAACAACATGCCTCTGGCAGCTATGGATTTTGATAAATGTCAAGAGTTGTAGAAAGGCTTCAGGACTTCAAGCCTTTTGTTCATAGGGTCGCTGAGTCGTGCTTGACTCGATAGCATAAAACAACATTCCAAAAATACTAAGTTTTTTTAAAAAGAAAAATGACATACTGATACTTCAACATACATGAGGATTGAAAGCGATATAGTAAGTGAAAGAAGCCAGTCAGAAAAACTGTATTGCTTGATAAAATTTATAAAGTGTCCCAAATAGGCAAACCTGTAGAGATAGAAAGTAGATTAGTGGTTGCCACAGAAATGAGAAGAGGAGAAGTGAGAAGTAGTAGCTAATGGATACCAGATTTCTTTTGGGGATGAGGAAATTTTTTAAAATTAATTGTGGGACTACTTGTGTGGCATTGTGACTATACTGACAACCACTAAATTGAGCACTTTTAATGGGTAAATTGCATAATTTACAAATTATGTGAATAAAATTGTTTAAAAAGGAAGTTTTCATTCAGAATTGAGTAATTGGAAAGATTTACCTCCTTAGTTGTTTTTGTATGATACCAGTTTTTGGTTAAGGATTAAAGAATAATATAAGAAGTCTTATAACCAAGGTTAAAATGTGATAATTTTTTTTGTTATTTGGGAAAGAAGTATAGAGTGCTACTTTCCTTAGTCTTACTGTCTTAATGCATGTAACCTGTTTTTTAATATTTTTTAGTCTAATTTTAGGTTAAATTAATACATAAATAAAAATAGAATTAGTAATACCTTTTGTTTAAGTAATACACAAGAGAATGTTACAGTATTTTATGTATATAGACAAGTAGTCTATCTTTTTCTAATTGTTGTTTTATATTTTCAGGGAAGGAGACTGGTGGGAAGCAAGATCAATTGCTACAGGAAAGAATGGTTACATCCCTAGCAATTATGTAGCGCCTGCAGATTCCATTCAGGCAGAAGAGTATGGCTTTGCTTCATATTTTATTAATTATTTTTATTTTAAAAATGTTTTAATGCACCGTGTATTCAGCCACACTTTATGCTTATGCAATTACATACTAATCTTAATACAACTAATGTATCATATTAATAGGAGATGTTATTTGAACATTAATAATTGATATAGAATATCCACTTAGAGTATAATTATAATGAATTTGTGTTAATAGTAATACAAGCTATGCCTAGTTTCTTTATCATTCCTCTTGTTTTTGGAATTATATTAAACCTTTTATGTTATGCAGATTTTCTCATAATTAGAAATTTACCTCCGGTTACTAATATTGTTTTAGTCTTGACTTAAGTCGTTATATTTGAAAGGAGAATGTTCTTTCTTTTAAATACATCAAAGTATTTAGGGTTAATGATTCAACATTCTTGCAGCTTTATTTCATTTGGTTGAGAAAAGATACACAAATACAGAGCTTTACTGTTGTAGTATGTAACTTGTTAGACTGCTAGCTGACAAATTGGAGGTTCACGTCCACCAGCTCCTCCATTGGCAAAAGACGAGCATTTTTATCCTTTAAAGATTTATAGCCTCAGGAACTCTGTAGAAGGTCCAAAAAGTAAAATGTTAACAACTGGGGAACCTGAGTAAAACATCTCAAATTCATTGTCGTTGAGTCAGAACTGACCCATAGCTGACTTGACAGTATGTTTTTCAAGGTTATGAGGCCCGTGGGAAGAGATTGCCCATGTTTGCAGCAAGTAGTGAATTTGAACCACTTGTCTTTGGATCTACAACCCAATTCACTTCCCACTGGATGACCAGAGCTCAAAGAGTACATGAACATTCTATTTAGTATTTTTACTTCTTTTGTGTAAGTTGAATTTTATCTCAAAAATAAGGGAGCTCTGATGGCCTAGTGGCAAGAAGCTGTGCTGCAATCCTGAAGGCATGTGGTTCGAATCCACCAGATGCTCCGCTGGAGAAGGAGGGGCAAACTCCTCCTGTGCCAGTCAAATCCGATTCAGAGGTATATGACAACAATAAAAGATGTTAAAAAATAAAAAAATAAAAAATTCTTTCAAAAACAACAGAAACCAAAACTACTGTCCTTACTTTGATATAAAACAAGGCTAATCAGAATCCCTAAATGCCACTTCATTTTCATATTGTTGTCCTTAACAAGAGTATTCTACATAGTAGGTTTTATTGCCTTCTTCGTCCTCTGTTCTGCTATGGCATTTGATACTGTTAATGTTCTTTTGTCTTCTCCACTGTTCTCTGAGCTGCTTAAAAATACAAGCTCAAGGGAGCCCCGGTGACCTAGTGACAAGAAGCTGCACTGCAACCTTGAAGGTGTGCAGTTCGAATCCACCAGATGCTCTGCTGGAGAAGGAGGGGCAGTCTCCTCCTGTACCAGTCGGATCTGAATTGACCACACACAACAACAACAACAACAACAAAATACAAGCTCACTTCTGGTTGTTTTTTTTTTACAGTAATTTGCTTATTTATTTTTTATGGTAAAATCACACTTAACTGTGAGTCTTATACAGTAGCAAAACAGTTTACATTTCTTTTTTAGAAACTTAATTTTACATAATATATTTTTTATTGTTTGTAGAATATGGTTGGTAGGGGCAGACTCACTTTTATTTGTTGTTGTTAAGTGCCTTCGAGTCCAGCATAATTCATAGTGACCATATAAATAAAAGCCCTGAACCCTTTTCTGTTACTATTGGCGTTTCTCTGTGTTCATGGACTTTCCAGAGGCATGTGGTTTAGGAAGTAGATGCCACTCCTGCTTCTAAGCCTGTCTCAATCTGGGAGCTCCACCAAACACTGTTCACTATCTTACTGTATTTGACACACCAGTGGCACAGCATTCAGCATCACAGAAACCCCAGGTTACTTCAGTATGGCAAATTGACAGTCCAGTGCTGGACCGCTTAGCAGAATGTACATCCCAAACACAATTAACACTGGGCCTGAGGCCGGAGTGCCAAACCACATTTTATATATAAAGGCCTGCCTACCAGTCCTTTGGGAACAACAACAAACCCAACCAAACAGTCCACACCTGATCCTCACCTAAAAAGAGAATCCACCTTCCAGAATCCAGCTACTTCACACATGAGCCTCCATTTACAAAACTTTATTAAATTAAACTCACACTCAATTACAACCTTATTATTTGCATCCACTTGGGGTCAATCACTGTGAGTCACTTTTTACATCTTTCTGTCTCCACTATGTCTCTGACCGATACATGGAATTCAAGAAATAGAGTAGTCAGTACATGAAAATACCATGACAGAGTATATCTTGACTTTTCATTTTTTTAATATTCCTATTCAATAGGATGAAATCTTTAATTGTATATCATTATATTTTAAATTATGTCCCAAAGCAGGTAAAATTTTTTTATTGGCATTCTTTGCTTAGTACTTGGCATCCTCCCTACTTTTCTCCACACTTGGATACACGTGTATAACTTTTGTGACCCAGACACCTTTTCAATTGAAAATACTTCATATTTTCCAGATGGTATTTTGGCAAAATGGGTAGAAAAGATGCTGAAAGATTACTTCTGAATCCTGGGAATCAACGAGGTATTTTCTTAGTAAGAGAAAGTGAAACTACTAAAGGTATGAATGTTGTTGCAGTAATAAAAACATTTTTCTGGGGCCCTATTTTGAGAAAGGTCTAGTAAAAGTACTTGTTTTTCTTCATAGGTGCTTATTCCCTCTCTATTCGTGATTGGGATGAAGTAAGAGGTGACAATGTGAAACACTACAAAATTCGAAAACTTGACAATGGCGGATACTATATCACAACGAGAGCACAATTTGATACTCTGCAGAAACTGGTGAAACACTACACAGGTGGGTGAATATTTCAGTGGTGAAAATTACTTTGTGTTGTTTTTTGAAAACAGAATCTGTGTCTTCGTCTCTTAGTATTTAGCCTAGTACTTTACACACACTACATACTCAGTAAATGTCTGTTGTATCTTAGCAATAAAGAAGATTAAGGAGCAAAGAATACTTGATTTAGAACTGGAATTGAGGTCTTGGTTGGTATGTTAAAATCAGATTTGTCATTATTTGTGCTTTTGTATTTTATGGCATAGTATTTAAATTTGGAGTCTCATTTCATAATGTTGATACCAGTATAGACAGTGAAAATAGATTTAAGAAAATAAAAACCCAAGTATTTAAGAACACTTGTCTTTAAACACTTAGTGTAAAAACTCTGTAAGATACCCTTGAGTGCTCCTTTCCCTACATGGGATGGGTCACAAAAGAAATCCTGAAACTGAATGAAATTTGATCTGATGTTACTTTTTTCCCTGATATACGGCAGCCACTACAGATCATTTTCTATCTTTTGAAGAACTGTGATAGTTACTTAGTATTAGAATCCACTGTCTCAAAGATTGTCATGCATGAGTACATCTTAAAGTTTTAAATGATTTTTTTAATTGTGATTTTAATGAAAGTTTGCAGAAAAGTTAGATTTTCATTCATTTACTGTTGTGTTTTCCTCCCTACTCCCCTCAGTTCACTTTTCTTTTAAAAAAAATTCTTTCATTGTTTCATAATTTTCTCTCTCCCCTCCCCCAGTCCACTTTGCTGTGCATCTCTTATTCTGGACTGTTGTCATATAGATAATTCCTAATCATATATTTCATTTAAACAATTCTTTCCTTCATCTGTTCCAGGGCAGTGTTCATTAGTTATCCCCTCTTTTCTCAGTTTTAAAGTTTTAAATTATTTAAATACCAGGGAGGGACATTTCCCTGATAATTTATCCCTCGGTAACAGTTGATGACTGAATATATCAAGTCACTTCCATCTTGTCATTGGCCAAAAGTATTACCAGAATGTAAATTTTTATGATTACTAAGTATGGGACCTCTCCAAAGTGTGAGTCTCCAAAGTACTGAAGAGCAGTGGTGTCACTCTGGAGACTAAGTGTGCTTCCAATGGGCTATGGTCTTTGCAATCACTTGCTATGCCTCAAAGAGCCGGACAGTGTTGATGCCTTTGAGCTGTGGTGTTGGAGAACAGTATTGACTATACCATGGATTGCTAGGAAAACGAACAGGTTCAGCCTAGAGAGGGTCAAAACAGGCTGCTCCTTGGAGGCAAAGATTCTGAAGCTTTGTCTGACATACTTTGGACATATTGCAAAGAGGGACCAATTCTTGGAGTATTACCTCATGCTTGGAGGGACAGCACCAGAGAGGAAGACACTCTATGAGGGGGATTTATTCGGTGACTGGAGTGGTTGGAGTAGGTGTTTTGGAGACATTGAGATTGGCACAGGATAGATGCAGGGTTTAGGGCTGTTGTACATAGGGTTGCTATGAGTCACAGGCAACTCATCGGCACATAACCCAATGAGAATGGAAGGGAATGGGTTTTATTTATAATAAGTAAAAGCCTGATTTTTAAGTAATTAATTTTTAAATGTCCTTTATTCATTTATTTAGAACATGCTGATGGTTTATGCCATAAGTTAACAGCTGTCTGTCCAACTGTGAAACCCCAGACTCAAGGTCTCGCGAAAGATGCTTGGGAAATCCCTCGAGAATCTTTACGACTAGAGGTTAAACTAGGGCAAGGATGTTTTGGTGAAGTATGGATGGGTAAGAAGTCTGAACTTTATTTCTTTTATTATTCAGACATAAAATAAAATGTCACAATGTTTGATAGCTAGTATATGTTCAGGTATTCAAGATACTTGCTGTTTGTTGAAGATTGATCAGAAATCTCCTAAAATGTGTGTTGCTTCTTTAGGAACATGGAATGGAACCACGAAAGTAGCAATCAAAACACTAAAGCCAGGTACAATGATGCCAGAAGCTTTTCTTCAGGAAGCTCAGATCATGAAAAAATTAAGACATGATAAACTTGTGCCTCTATATGCTGTTGTTTCTGAAGAGCCAATTTATATTGTCACTGAATTTATGTCCAAAGGTATGTATATATTCTTGAACAGATTTGCAAAATGTAGGGTTTTATGTTGATAGATTTTTTTAAGTCTTCATTTCTATGCTTGTGCAGATAGATTTTTATGAATAGTGAGTTCTGATTTAAAAATAGGAGAACATGTTACTTTGTTTAATAATGATTTGTCCCAGTGATTGTGAGGACAGAAAGTTTATAAGGAAAGTTGGGTCAGCAGAATTTATTTTGAATTTAGATTTGCCTAAAGGATGTGGAGTAGGCATAAAACAAAAAAAACAAAAATACTATTTATAAAAATAATGCAGTTAGACACATACTTGTATCTTTAGAACTAAAACCATCAAGTAAAGTTAAAGAAATTAATTTTTATCACTTTTGATGTAGAAAATTCTTTTTTCTGCTACTGTCATTTGAAATGTCTTCATTCCCAGAAACCTCATAACCTCGAGTGGAATCTTTAATAATAGGATTCATTAGAACAAGGGTAAAAAGAAAAGGAGGTTGATGTTTTTGGTTTTTTCCCTATGCTAATATATTCCTTCTGCTATTAATACCATAACAATAAAGAGGAGCCAGTAAGCCCTGGCAGTCACATTTTCTGATCATCTTTCTGGATTCTTTTTCTAGTTGGCCTATATACTAATTCTTAATTCACCATCTGTGGTTAATGTTGAAGGGCTTGGGCAGACTAATGCTTTGATTAATTTGCTCTGTGTTGAATACCTTGCTGAATACTTGGCAAGCGTATTTCAAAGCAATTATTCATCCACATTCCAAATGATTCCATATCACATTTTGAGTGTTCATTATGCAGTGTGCCTGTACTAGATATTGGGAGAAAGGTAAGAGACTTCTTACCATCAGGAAATTTATCTTTTGATTGCCTTCTGTACCATCACCAGAAGAGTCACTTCACTCAGGAAACCACAGACGATCCTGTGGCTAATGATTTCAACTGAAGATGGGCACGTAGTATATCTTTCTTTCTATAACCACGTCAGTCTTGTATCTCCAAACAAAAAATATACTGACAGGGATGCTTTTCTTACCAGTCTTGAGGAATTTTTGGTTTAATTTTTAGTTTTAGATTTTCATTCTGGTAAAAAACCAAAACATTCCTTGATAAGAAGTCTCCATGTATATTTAAGTCTCATTAATTCCATGTTTCATGTTCCATGCTCCCCAAATAAAAACTCCCCTTTTCCACCTCTAGTGATAATCATTAATGATCTTTAGTTTCTTTTTATTTGCTTATTTCATATATGTAAAAATATAAAATATTTATCCCTTTGCAACTGACCCATTTCACTCAGCATAATTTTTTTCAGGTTCATCCATGTTGTAATAGATTCATTTCTCCTTCTAACCGTGGGATATTCCCTTGAATGTATGTACCACTTTTTACATTTTAGTGGTTATGTTGGTGGCTGTTTTCATTGTTCTCACCATTTTGGCTATTCTGAACAGTACACCAGTGAACATTGAGTATACAAATTTGTTTCTCTGCATTGACTTCTGTGAGTATGTTTAGACTTGGACTTGTTGGTTGTATAATTGTTCTATCTTGTATTTTATGTTTTTGTTCTTACAAATAACTTTCTCTATAATTCAAACCACTGATCCAAGTCATCTCTCCAGTAGTCCAACTTGGCCAATGATGTAGTTCCATCTAGTGGCAAAAGAGTTAACTACAATCTATGTGTTAATGCTCATTGTATAGTTGGAACCGACACATAGCTGGGCCTCCATTGGGTTTCCGAGGTTGTAAATTTTGCAGGTGTAGATTGCTCTCCCTTGGAGCAGTTGGTGAATTTGAACCTCCAGAGAGGCACTGCATTTGGGTTAGTAGCACAACTCCTGGTCTGCATGACCAGAGCTCCTTGGCTAACACATTCACTCTATGAAATGATTTTTTTCTTCCAGAATGGATTGGAACTAGAAGTTAAGACTGATGTAGGCTACTAATTGATGGTTTAACATACCTAAATCCTTGCAGTATACAAAGTCCATGAACTTTCCTTTGAGGTTATGTGTAGATTTTTATTATGTACATGTGTTTTCTTAGGAGAGAGAGATAATTTTCATGAGATTCTCAAAAAGGATCTGCCAACCAAAAAAAAAAAAGTTAAGGACTTCTGAGCTAGAGGAATGCAGGTTGGAGCTGTTTGTATCACTTACTAGTCTGTAATTAAGAAGAATTGGTCAAAAACCATTTTATAATCATTACATATCAGTTGGGGAAGAGTTTAAGAAATTCTGCAATAAGATTTTTGTGTTGCTTCCTGTTGTTTGGGAACCACTAGGTTACACAGGCAGTCCCAAGTTAGAAACAAGATTGATTTCTAAGTGTGTCTTTAAGTTGATTTTGTACATTATCAGAGCCAATGTATGTAGTTCTTATTCAATCTTGTTTTAGTGCACAAAAAGATACAAAGGCATTTCTGTGATTTAAGGGCTGCACATGCAGCAAGTGAAGATGATTGTGATGAAGAGCTTATTGCAAGTCAGGTGTTGGTTCATTCATTTCAAATTGAGGGTATATTTACACAACATGAAAGGGCAAACACAAGGGTCTTGAAGTCACATTTCATAATCCAGACATTTGCTATATACCTGAAGGCAGAATTGTAGGGTAGCTGTATATTTGGCTTTGTTCTAAAAAGTATTACTCTAATTTTTACCCTGCCCTGAGCATACTTCCATTAGCATAGATGAGAGTTCCTGCTTTTCCACTTTGATGTAGCATTGGTATTGTTCAGTATTTTCAGTTTTTCCAGTAGAATGCTGTAATCTCTTACCTACTTCGTTTTTTCCTAGCTGAGCATCTTTTCAAATATTTATAGGCTATTCTGGTTTTCTTGTGAATTACCTGTCAATCCAATGTCTTTTAGTGTGTTCATTTTTTTCTATTAGGTTGCAAGCTTTTTCTTACTAATAGGTAATTCATGGTTTCCTAGTGAAACTACTTTGACAAAGAGAATTGGTGGTCAACTACTTCCTCTATTAGGAAAAAAGTAAACTTATTGTCATCAAGTTGGAGTCCAGTTCATAGAGAACCTGTAGGACAGAGTGCTGTAGGGTTTACGAAGTTGTGAATGAAGGATTGCCATAGCTTTGTTTTGTGGTCCCTGGTGGATTTGAAACACCAGTTGCATTGATTAGCAGTCTGTCAGTCCTTTAACCACTCCACTCCTCAAACCAAAGCTGAAGCTCGTGAGTCGGTTCTAACTCGTATTAACTTAAGAGAGAGTAGAACTGCCCCCTAGACTCTCTGGTGCTGTAAATCTGTATGGGAGTACCTTGCCACATCTTTTTACCCATGACGGACTTGAGACTGCCAACCTTTTCATTAACCACCAACACCCTGACTCCTTCATTGCTAAATTAGCTGGGTAATTTCCTTTTCTTTATTAAACTTCTTTCACCTTTGTTTCAAGGATACCATTTTCTTGCTTCCTGGACCCTTCATTTTTTTTATCACACTGGTTGATCTTTTCTTCCCACCACTATAGTATTTTTATTTCCTCAGAATTCCTTCAGTGGCCTCAAACCGTCTTAATACTCAATCTGTATCTCTGTGGCTTTCTTTTTCAGCCTATTTGTTAATGTGACCAATCTCAGCCTTTTTTCTGACTAATGTTGTCATTGTTTATGTTAGGGGTCAACAAGAAGTTATGCGTCAACAACAACTCAATAAACAATAGATCTGTACCCTACCCTGTCCTTTGCCATCTTCTCTGCCACACTAGAATCCATTGTTACAGTCACTGTGTTAGTCCATCTCTTTGAAGGTCTTCCCCTCCTTTGCCAGCCCAATGTCTTTTTCTACAGACTGGCCCCTCCTGTCAACATGTCCAAAGTATGTGAGATGACATTTCACCATCTTTCCCTCCAGGGAACTTCCTGGCTGCACATTCTTCAAGACCCATTTCTTTATTCTCTTGACAGTCCATGGGATATTTTGTTCTCTTAGGTAGCACCACAACTTAAAGACATCGACTCCTTTGTCAGAGCCAACAAAACTGGATTTCTTCATATTCTAATAACCACCACCTTGCCTCAACCCACTTATCCTCCTATATCCCATTTCTTACTAAGGATACATTTTTAACTTGAACTCCTAGAACAGAAACCTAAGGTGTTATCATTGACGGCATCCAGCTATCCCTTATGTAATAGTCTACTGTGTGCTCTAGATCCCTTACTAAGTTTCTCTGGAATTTGTCTCCTTCCTCACCATCAGTGCTATGTTTGAAGCACAGTAGACTCTCCTAGACACTGCAGGTCCTTCCCTAGTGAAGGCACTTGGACTTGACTGCTAACCTAGAGGTCGGTGATTTAAATCTGTCCAGTAGTGCCTTCCATCCAAGGTCTGTCTGCCAGTAAAGACCACAGCCAAGGAACCCCTGTGGAGCAGTTCCTCTCTGCAGCATAAGTGTGGTCAGGAGGTGGAAATGGCTGCTGCGGAAACAGGAAAATATTGATTCTGTGCAGTTGTTACCTGCTACACCAGTTTCATTCTTCAGCGTACTATTCGATTACTTTCTCAACATAAATCAGGTCGTACTGCTTCTCAGCATAAAACACTTCGTTTACAAAGGATAAAGTCTGTTTACCCTTTGTCATCTGTGTTGTCTTTCCTTCTTCTGCAGCCTCATTCTCACCAGTACGCTGTGTTCCTATGTTGGGAAGATTGCTTTTAGTTCCTGGAATAGACATGGATTACTACCTTTATACTTGTTACTCTGTCTTCCTGGATTTCCTTCTCTACGTCCATTCTTCCTTTACAGTGCACTCCTCTCTGAAGCCTTTTCTGACTCCTTCATAGAATTAACTCCAGAATTAACCCCATATCCATTGTGCACCTGCTGTAGTTTCTGTAACACCTACTAGGGAGCTCTGGTGACCACATGGTAAGGAATTGCGCTACCAACCCAAAGACAAGTGGTTTATATGTCACTGGCTCCATGGGAGAAGGATGGCCAGTCTCGTGTGATTTACAGTGTCTGAAAACCCACGGGAGGGTCAGCTCTGAGTCAGTTCTGACTCAGTAGCACAAAACTACATACAACACCTTTCCAGACTTTTCAAGGACAAGGCCCGCGACTTAGTTATCTTTGGATCATCTGTAGTGCTTCACCCATAGCAGGCCTTGGTAATTGTTTGAATGGGCAAAAAAGTGGACAAATCCAGTAACATAGATTTCCTGGGTAGTAGACAGATCAGGGGAAGTATATTCTCTAAATTGTTTTCTAGCAACATAGAAAAATTGTTTATTTTTTAACTCTTATGTCCCTGAACAGGTGAGACTGCATGATACACACATCATGGTCCTTTTACCCCTAAACTTCAGTGTTTGTCTTAGGAAGGCAAAGGCATTATATAGCCACAGTGTGATGATCAAAGTTAGGAAATGGAGCATGAATACACTCTGTTGTCTGATAAACAGTCCACGTTCAGATTTCACCTGTTGTGCCAGTGACATCCTTAATTATTTCAGTGTTTTTCCTGCCCTATAGCCAATCCATGGTCACGAATTACATTTAGTTGTCATTTTTCTTTAGTCTCTGTTATGGATTGAATTCAGATGAGGCAAGGTTAATATAAGCCATATCCTAAGTTAGTCTCTTTTGAGATTTAAAAAGAGACATAAAAAGCAGGCAGAGAGAAGTTGTAAGATAGATGCCAGAATACGCTAAAATCTCTGAGGAGCCAGAAAGCTGAGACTGAAGAGACATAGAAGACAAGAGGAGAGCAGAGCCTCCCCTAGATGTGGGTTTCTGGTCTCCTGAACTGGGCAAAAAGACATCTCTCTGTGGTGAACCAGTGACAGGTGGTGTTTTTGTCACAGAAGTACTGGATACCTAAGATTGAAGTTCTGCTCTCACAGATAGCTAAGAAGTGGTTTTGGAATTGGGAATAGTTTTAAGGTGCCTGGTGGCTAGGGGCAAGAAGAAGCTATGTTGCAATCTCGAAGGCAGGTGGTTCAAGGCCATCAGCTGCTCAACAGGAGAAGGATGGGCAGTTTCATCCCATGTAATTAACTGCCTCTGAACACCTGCCAGAGGGTCAGATGTGGGTCATTTCCGACTCCATGGTAAACAACAACAGGTTACTTTAAAGATAAAGGCGGTTCTGGTGAGGGCTCACAAGCCAAGAGAGGAGAAATACAAATAAAGTCTATCATGGATAGTTGCCAGTGAAATATGCGCACTAAAATGTGCTTCTGGTGAGGTTTTAAAAGGAAATGATTAGCATGTGTTTGGAGGAAGGGCAGTGCTACTTATTTAGTTCAGAGAGTTCTGAATTATGTGTAAATGCTTGAAGGTTCTGCTGCTGTTGTAGTGGAGTTGGGACCAACTCATAGCTGACCTTCAGCTTTTCAGAGGTAGTTAATCGCATGGGAGGAGATTGCCTGTCAGCTCTGTCAAATGAAAACAGAACTTAAATATTAGAAAAATTCTGTTGTTCAATGTAAAGACACATGTGTTAGAATGTTCACCTAAGGGCTACACAAGCTTAGGTTAAAGAGATTAGCCCTGTGAATGATGGCTCTTACCGACTCCCACAGGAAAAAACCCACCAGTTTATACTGCAGGGCACAGAGAAGGAAAGAAGGGAAAGAACACTGCCTCTTGAAACTCTACAGACAGGAAAGAGGCCAACTCACTACATCTGTTGTCCTCCAAGAAAAGAGAAGGAGCATCCTTGGAGCAGTTTGGAGGTCAGCAGAACTGATGAAGGAGCATGGGAGCCTTTTCCATTTTGAGAGCTGGGGTCACACAGCCTTCTGGATTGTAAAGGCACAGCCTTTTAGATTTCAGATAACTGGCTCTTTGCTAACTCAATTCTGGAGTGTGAGGCTACCATTTAAATGTACTAGAGGCATGGGGCTTTTGCCCACAGTTCTGTGGACTGCCATGCCCATGAAGCAGTAGGATACTCTCTGGGGCTGAGAGAGTAGAGTTGCCACTCTCATGGATTAGGAGATGGGAATTGCCTCAAAACCAGGGAAGCAAGGTCCTATCCTGGAGGGCCTCCAGGACGGAGTAGCAACCACTGCCGCAACCAGAGCCTTCACCAGGTGTACACAGAGCTCCCTGGTTGCCTCGAGAGCCACTGTGAATGGGTTTGCTAAGTTTTAGACCTCACCTATCCATTATGTCTTCTTTCCTTCAATTTTTCCCCCCATTTGTGATGGAAATATCTGACTGTACCCATGTCGCTAACATATTTTGGGAACAGATAATTGATCCTCTGTAATTCACAGGTTTACAGATAAGGAGAAATGTCTTCTTTTTATAAATTGAGGGAAAGTTTATAGTCTGGTTTTTCATTTGATCATACTCATTTAAATATTTTTAAATTTATTATTTTTCTTATAATTGGTTTTTCATATGATAATTTGTTCTTTCATGTACTTTGTGTTTTATACAATCTTTCATTTACATTGTATTTCATACACTCATTCATATACATTCTATATCATTTATTGCTATTGATCTGTGCCTATTATTACATTACTCCCATCTTTTCAAGTTAGTTCCCATTGAATCTTTCCACTTCCTTCACCACCACCCTCCAGTCTGCCTGTTTTTTATCTTAGTGATTTCCACATTTCCCCTTTTTTCATCTCTTTCCTTTTATTCCTTTTCCAGTTTGGACATTTATACACATCTTACTTGTTAACCTTCCATTTTTACAATAATGGTTTTACATTTTTATGTATTTGTCCTATGATTGAGTCTTATGATTGAGTTCATTCACTCAGATCTCCAGACTTTCTCGTGTTTATTAATACTTTACAAAATCATTGTTCCTTCTTGTTGTTGTATACTGTAGAGTAGGAATCGACCCTTAGCAGACCCTGCAACAGGTTTTCAGAGGGTTTTCAAAAGAGGAGATAGCCCACCTTTCTCCAGCAGAGCAGCTGGTGGCTTCAAACCATCGTGCTGCATGATATTCCACTGTGTGAATGTACCACAATTTCTCAATCCATTCATTTATTGATGGGCATTTGAGCTGTTTCCATATTGTTGCTATTGTGAATAATGCTGCTATGGATATGATTATACATATCTCCTTTCATACTAATTTTTTATAACATAATTCCATTCAGTTATTCATACATTTTTCATTTACAATTGTTGAATATATAAATTGTATTACAATATCTGAAGATGAAGAAAAATTTTACCCTTGGTGAAATAAACTTAATGATTCACCCATATTTGATTTTGTTACTACAAAAATAAGATTTCAGACTTGGTATTGATTTAAGACTTTGGGGATGATGTGATGGGGTAAATGAGTTCTTCGTGTAGCAAGGACATGAAGTTAAGTGATCACTTTTTAATCTTAGAAGTTGAATTGTGTCCTTCAAAAATTAGTGTTACATCTTACCTAACCTCTGTGCAACTCTGTACCTGTTTGTGGTTACAGTCCCATTTAGGAAGAGGTTGTCTCTTTAAGCGGTGGGATTAGTGTAGGGTATATTGAGTCTGTCTTGATTTAGAAGAACAGACTTAGCATGATAAGATAAATGCCAAGACACACAGAGATCTCCAGGGAACAGGAAGCAAAAGCCAAGGCTTTTGTCCAGAATTCAGAGAGACAATATTCACCTCAAACCAGTGCTCTGAATTCAGATTTCAGCCTTTTTGAAATACGAGACAATGAAGTCATCCATTTGTATTTCTCTTCTAGCATAACTGCCTCCTTAAGACAGTCTAATGTGATTTGGAGCAGTTTCTCAGTGTAGTTTACAAAATGTGCTTTATTTTTGGTTAATCTGGTGTTTTGTCTTGATTAAACTCAGCCACATGGTAAGTTTTTAACCAATATTAGAAGAGACATAAACACTTCCCCTTTCACTCTTATCCATACTGCTCTGCCTGCTTCTTGGTGTATGAAATTGAGTGAGGTTTATTGGTCAACTCTTCCATGGCAGTTCATCTAGCCACTTAGCTTTAGTATTACCTGCCCCAAGAGAGTCCCAGTTTTATTAACTTATGATTCATATTGACTTCAATATATAGAAATACTAATAACTTCTTTTTGGATAAAATTGAGACCACTGGTTTGCTTAATGCAAAGAAAGAATATCCCTAATCTGGTAAGTTATTGTATTTTTCAGTTTTTTATGTACATTATCAGAAGACGTGGTGAAAATTTTAGGATTCTCTTTAAGACTCCTGAAAGATAATTAGTCAGAAATTTTAAGTTGCACATTTTAGAAAGCTTAAATGTTAGGGTCTGGTGACCTGTTCAGGGTTGGAAATGATTTGTTTGAATCCTCATTTTTCATAAATGTCTATTCTTTCTTCCAGGGAGCTTGTTAGATTTCCTCAAGGAGGGCGATGGAAAGTATTTGAAGCTCCCACAGCTGGTTGATATGGCTGCTCAGGTACGTGTATAATGAATCAGTCTCAGGTAAAAGTATACACTAAAAAGTAGAGTTTAGGAATTTGTAACTAAGTTGGGACAGATGCATAAGATTTTTATTTCATTTTAGTGCAAGAAAAGGCTAAGAATATTTTCAGTGATTTGAGAGTTGCACCTGGCAGCAAGTGAATGTGATTGTGATGAATTTTTTAAAAATAGAAGTTAGATCAGTTGTTTTAAAGTGGGGGCAAATTATATAATATTAAAGAGCTGGTTGGGTTAGTTGATAGAAGCTATTGTGGCCTGTTGGTAAAGAGTTGCACTGCCAACCTAAAGGCACTCAGTTCAAATCCACTAGCTACTATATATAGTTAAAGATTGAGGACAGAGATATTTTTACTCTTTCACATTTTACATTTTTCTTTTCTATGGTAGACATTTGAGGGGGTTTTGTTTTTAGCTTTGACCTACATGTTGAGCGTATGTTATTTATCTTTCAGCCAACATCCGGCTGTCTATAGAGTCCACCAGTGTAGAGAAATGTGAGTGAAGAAGCTTTACATCAGAGAGAGACTTACGTTTTGACCAGAAACAGTCCATGTTCCTGAGTTCAAAACTCCTGGACACACTCTGGTTGAGGGCTGGCACGCTACTTTTTTATGTTGTTGTGTACGATCAAATCAGAACTTACCCATAGCTGACTCTCCAGTGGGTTTATTGTGGTTGTTGTCTACTGTCAAGTCAGAACCAACCCATAGCTGACCCTCCGGTGAGTTTTCAGAGGCAGAAAGATTATCCATCCTTCTCTTGTGGAGAAGCTGGTGGCCTCGATCCGCGTGCCTTCAGGATTTCAGCACAGCTTCTTGACACTAGGTCACCAGAGCTCCCCTGAGGGGTTAAAAGGGAATAAATTGCATGGGAAGAGATTGCCCATCTTTCTTCCACAACAGCTAGTGGATTAGAACTACATACCTTTGCATTGGCAGGACAACTCCTTACCACTTTATATTGTTGTTGAGTACCACAGAATCAGAACTGACCCATAACTGATCCTCCAGCAGGTTTTCAGTGGCAGTTAATCACATAGGAAGAGATTGCTTATCCTTATCCCATGGAGCAACTGGTGGCTTTGAACCATATGCCTTTGGGATTGCCGTGCAGCTTCTTTGCCACTAGACCACCAGAACTCCCATTACCACTTTATAGGGCCAGATAAATACTTAAGACTTTGTGCTCAGTTTGTGTTGTATATTATTCCTGTCATTATAATTATTATGCCTTTCTTTCTTCTCCCTACTTTCTTTTAAAAGCATGGAAATAACTTTTAGTTCCCATGCACGCTATATTTTACCAGCATCCTTTAGTTTGAGGATACTCTTCTGTGACTGAGGTCTTTATCACAAGGAACGTCTTAGGTCAGTACCTCATATGGACCTTGGTGGACTGACTTCTGTCCAGAGGTACTCAGTAACCCTGTGGCTTATCTCTTAATTACTAACGAAAGAAAGGCACTTGTTTATTATGCCTCTAATGATAACTGGCGATGTTGAGTGGTTGAAAATCTTGGCCTTTCAGTTTTGAAATTGGACTTTACCCTTTAGGTTTGTTTTTTAATGACAGTGCTTTTTATTATCTATTTCATTACTTTTATTATTATTACTACTTGCTAGAGACTATGGTGTCTCCTTTAAAGATACAAGATTTCACAGTAATCTTACTTTAACCAAATTTTTTCCTCCTATTTCCATTTGAATAATGTATAATTTTTCCCCCCAAGATTGCTGATGGCATGGCATATATTGAAAGAATGAACTATATTCACCGAGACCTTCGGGCTGCTAATATTCTTGTAGGAGAAAATCTTGTGTGCAAAATAGCAGATTTTGGTTTAGCACGGTTAATTGAAGACAATGAATATACTGCAAGACAAGGTAAAATTACTTTTTAGTAAATACTTGTAACTCAATATTCCTTCGTTGTGCATTTTTTTGCACTCTCTTAACATACAGAGTTTTATGGAATAAGAATAGTTCTCAGTCCCCACAGAAGAATCAGAAACATTTATTCATGAAATGACGTGTCATAAAGAGGATGAAGCCAAGTTTTCCCTTGGAGACAAGGATTTTGAAGCTCCCTCTCACAGACTTTGGGCATGTTGCCAGGAGGGACCAGTTCTTGGAGAAGGACACTGTGCTTAGAAGGAGGCAGAGGCAGCGCAGGAAAGTAAGACCCTGGATAAGATAGATCGGCCCAGTGACTGTGGCAATAGGGGTAGGTGTGTTGGGGACAATGAATCACAGTCAATTCGACAGCACATAACAACGAATAATATCATGGCCTCTAATAGTTTATTTTCCCCAAGGAAGAACTTGATTCCCCAACTGTTCCTTGCATTGTAAGAATAGCAAGTAGTTACCCTTTTCCTTATACTTGGACATGCCAACAAATAAACATTTTTAATTCCTCTTATAACATGTCACAAACCACTCAGTTCATGATTAATAGTACTACCTGTGTAGTAGTACTACTACAGTAAAGATCAAAAAAGATATGTTTGGAGCTAATGCATTAAGGAAATAGGCTATCATTTTACAAAGGCTTTGGAAATCACTTATACTCCATATTTATGATAAATTTTTATTATATATAAAATGTACTTAATAAAAATGATCTAGAAGATTGACACTAGAAGGGATCTTACAGAAATTAGCCTGGGTTGGTTCTTCTGTTTGATCTGTCTGTAAACATTTCTGTCCACAACAATAAACATGAGGGCTGCATTGCATAGTGAAAGAATATAGACTTTGACATCCTAATCCATCTGTTATTAGCCTAGAGATCTCAACTAGCTGATCTAACCTTTATACTTCAGCCTCAGTCTCCACACCTGTAAAGATTAAATGAAAAAATTAGCTTTTTCAAGATTTTTTTAAAGCTTTAAATAAGTAATGTATTAAAGAGTTTGCTTGACACTTAGTAGATATTCAGTAAATACATAGCTGCCATTACTCCTTAAAACCATTGGATATTAAATTGATAGAATTAGAGGAACAGAGTATTTGCCCCTCAAAAAGCTTACATTTTAATGGTCAAGGTAGATCCATATATAATAACTCTAAAGCAAGACAGATATAAAGCAGTGTATGGTTGCTGTCACAGAAGGACTGTGTGAAAGTATTTTAGGAATACAGACTATCAGTGCCTCACAGAGGCAAGGGCTCCGGAGCAGGGCTCTGAAATAAGAGGGTAACTTGACAGGCACAGAGAGATTTAGTAAAGTCTTATATAAATCACCACATGACTTCTTGATCCTGTAAGAAACCTTCAGTCATCCTCCACAACACCAACAAAAAAGATGCCTTGACTGTCAGAGTTTTAACAAACGTTTGTCTCCCTGTATATGTACTCTGGATGTTGAGACAGAGCAATAAGAAGGTGTGATTTCTGCTTTCAAAGGAGCTTGCTGTACAGTGTCTGAGACAGAATTACTTGTAAGCCTTTTCAGTACAGTTTAGTAAGCTGAGTGTAGACGTTAGGGGAGCTCAGGTGGCTTGGTCTGTAGCAAAGTGCACTGCTAACCCAGAGGCTGTGCCTCTTAAGCAGTTCAAATCCACCAGTGTCTCTGAGGGAGAAAAAGGTTCAGTCTTTTCTGGCTAATGATTTACAAATACCTGATAGAGGGTGACTGTAGTTAGGACTGACTAGGCAGCAATTGTTTTTAGCTTGAGTTTTTAGTGTAGAAATGAGTCAGGATTTAATTTAGTGGGGGAAAGAATACCTTCTACTAGCTAATGGCATATTGCTAAGAGAGGCTGTTCCTTGGAAAGGGATATCATATCATGCTTAGAAAGATAGAACATCAGCAAAAGAGAAGATGACCCTCAGTGAAATGGATTGATCCAGTGACCGCAGCCATGGGCTCAGATGTGTCAAAGATGGTGAGGAAGGGACAGGATAGGACAGAATAAAGATTTACTGTTCAGACAGTCCCTTTGAGATATGCTCGACCTGATAGAACATAACAACATCTTCTATTACCATCATTTCATAAACGAGAAAAACACCACACATATAGGATAAGCATAATCTTAAAAAAAATAATAATACAGCAATACTGATACATTCTAATGATTTTTTGCTTTGTGAGTTTATATATGTTTCTCACTTTTTGTACTAAATTAGTGATTTGTGTCACGGACTCTGTTAGTATATAAGCCATTTTCTCCACTAGGGATAATACAGCCCTCTAGTAGACCTTTGACAGTGTCCACACACACTTTTAGTTGTCACAATTTGGAGGCTGTCACTGACATCTACTGGGACGTGCCAAGTATCCTGCGAAGTGTTTGGCATAGTGCACCACACAAAAAAATCATTGAGTCTAGAATATCAAGCTGGACTGAAGCTGAGAAAATTCTCCCTTAGATGAGTTGTTTTCTCTTCAGTATCCTTACCTTGGTGTGCTGACCTACGTCTTCTATAATCTTTACCTTTAAAAATTCCAACCTTTCTTTAGGACTTAATTTAACTGCCACTTTTTTCTTAATGAAACCTTTTTGTGATTTTTGCCAGTGAAAATTGCCTTCCCTTTAGGTTAACATCTAAAAAAATAGTCTTAAAATACTTGTTTGCTCAAGTTATTTGTATATTTGCATGTATAAGAAGTCCACATTTCCATTGTAAGAATATGGCATTATTTTTGTATTACCCATAATAGTAATACCTTGCATGTAAAAGGCATTCACTAAATAATTGAGTAAACTAACATGGAGTTTTGGAAATGACACAGAAAGTTATAAATAAAAAAGAAATTATGTTGTTGCATCCACTTCTGAAATGGCTTGCCTCCGGAAGCTCTATGTATGAACATTACTCAGGCCGTTCATTCATAGGGTCGCTATGAGTCATCTACGACTCGACTGCATCAAACAACAACAACAACATGTTGTTGTTAGGTACTGTCAGGTCAACTCTAGCTCATAGCAACCCTGTGAACAACAGACCCAAACCTTGCCTCTACCATTGTGCCATCCTCCCATTCCCCTGCCGTGCAAGCCCAGTGTTGCAGTCACTGTGTCAACTCATCTCTTTTTTTTGTTTTTTATTGGCAAAAAATATATTTAGCTCATGATGCATTACCAAGTGGAAAATACAAGGAGATTATATAAATAGTATCACCCTAATGTTGTTTAAAAATCTACTTTTGCATACATCACAGTGTGAAAATGGGTCTCAAGTGAGCTTATAGGTGATTGTTTTCTTTAAATGCCTTTTGATTCTCTTGCGGTTAATAACATGCGTGATATTTACAATTTTGGGATTGTAATTTTTTTTTCAGCCTCTGAATTTTATTTTTTTTTTAATTCATTCATTGTTGCACACTTTCCTCCCTGCCCAACCCTCCCCTCACAATTCACTTTTCTCTTTGACAAGTTTAAAAAAAAAATTATTATTTTCATTGTTATACAACCCACTCTGCTATGCAGATTTCATTCTGGACTCTTGTCATGACAGTGATACCTAATTATATAATCCTCCTAAACACTACTCTCTCTCATCTTTCAATGCAGTATATAGTATTTATCCCCTCTTAGTTTTTTGAAATGTCTTTTTATTTTTTGTTTGTTTGTTTGCTTTAGTTCATCTCTTTGAGAGTCTTTCTCTTTCACTGACCCTCCACCTTTCCCATCATGATGTCTTAATCCAAGACTAGCCATTCTTGAAAACATGCTTTAAAGTGTGTGAGAAGTTTCACCATCCTTGCCTTTAAGGAGCTCCCTGGCCATACTTCTTCCAAGTCAGATTTGTTCCTTTGGCAATCCTAGTTCAGAGGCCACAAATCTTCAATCTTCCTTATTCATTGTCTACTTGAAAGGGCCTCTTTAAAGGACTAAAAGAGCAAGAGTATCAGTTTAAAGACTTAATGCACCTGGTCCAAGCTATGATACTTGCAGTTAATCCATATGCATTTGAAAGTTAAACAAAAAAGATTAATGTGATGAAAGAAAAGGATATTTATTAGAACCTAATAGAATATCCCTTCATCAGCCAGTAGTTAACTAGCAACTAAATGCCATTTGAAGGAAAT